TCGCCATTACATAAAACATAATGTATTTTAAATGCTATTATAGCATTTCAAAAGTTCGTGTGTTCTGATATCTTTAATGGTTATTGTTTTAAAAATGATCGAAATAACTTGCTCACTGTAGAGAGGCATGTTATATTAAGTTATGCACTTGAGTCATAATGATCTTTTCATATCTCTTTTGATTCTGTATGACACGGACTAAAATAAGGAACATGTTATTGTTGTTGTCTTTTATTTATTGAAGTCTACCAATGAACGTCGGATGACTGGATAAATAGAAATTATGTCATAGTTATTATGTTTATAGCACCGTACTCTAAGTGATTACGTGCACAACAAAACAACAAGAACAATAAATTATATAATAATAAAAATAATATGATGATTGAATATAATGATAATAATATTAATAATAATTAAAATAATAATAAAATCAGAAATAGATAAATAAATAAATATAAAATAAATAAAAAATTTCTTAAATTGTTTTCATAAGTAGAAATAATAGCATACATCAAATTATTTCGAAAAATTACAAAAAAATATTTTATTTAAATGATTAAAATGTTTATCTCAAAATGGACTTTAAATATTTTTATATATCAGAAAGAATAATGTGTATCTCAACTTCCGTGTTAGTAGTAAAAATACGAAAGCGTATCAAAAGCGTAACGAAGTAGCAAACCGAATACAAAGGCAAATGAAATCGAAAACATTAAACAAAAAAGACATTAATGTGATCTACTTACGGAAGATTTAAGTATTTGACAGGTTCTTTGTTTCCAAAAAAGAATGACAAAACCTTTTATTGGTGTTTTCAACATGGCAAAAAGAAACATTTTTTTTCTGGTTTGTATTTCTTACTAGAAGTAAGAAATACTAAGATTAATATATATTTTCTATTTTGATTTTCTTTTTATCATTAAAATGTCGGTTATCTATTTTAAATTTTTTTTTTGTCATTAATCACAAAATTCCACATAATTTTTATATATACTTAAATTCCATATGAATTTATTTGAGTAAATGATCAATCAATCAATCAATCAATCAATCAATCAATCAAACAATCAATCGAACGACTTTCAAATAATTCAATAAACTTCTCGATCAGAAAGAAAGAAAAATTTCATCAATCAGTTAACTAAATGATAAATTCTTACGTTTGTTTCTTTATCTATTTACTTTTAAGATCTAAATTTTACAAAAATTTATTTACTTACCGATTGATTTATGTAAAACTCTAAGCAGTAAAATAGAATTCGATAACATTTATGAAATCGAAACTCTAACATTGACCTACATTGTTTAAGTATTTCATAGCCCAATATTAATTCCTTCTATATTCATAAAACAAACATTTTTCCAATTTTCCTCAAATTTGAAATAAACTGCTTGTCTTTATGGCGACAAAATGAATTCGTCTTAAGTCGTTTTAATTGGCTTTAAGTTATACCCAAGAATTTGATGAAAGATACAAAGAATGATAAAAGTATTTCACTGTATTTAATAAGCATCTAATGTCGAATATTTATGCTTGCAGAATTGCTACGTAACAGAACCGTTTGTTACATTTCATAATTAAATGTCCACCTTTTTATCACGACCCTTATGGTTAATTGTGCAACTTATTATCACCACCAATAAGGTTATCATTTTATCACAGTTTTTTAAAGGAATTGGCATCATTTTCCCCGGGACCCAATTTTATTGTGCCATTTTATTATCCTGGGCCCCCCAAAGTTAATAGCATCTTATTACCAGGCCCTACAGTTTTTTTTGCATCTTTTATCCCGGCCCCCCATTATTAAATTTTGCATCTATTATCCAAAACCCCAAAAATAATTTTGCACCTTTTTATCCGGGGCCCCTTGGTTTAAATTTTGGATTTTTTTTCCGCCCCTATAGTTAATTTGCATCTTTTTACCACGGGTCCTAAAATTTTTTTGCACCTTAAATTTTCACGGCCCCCTTTGGGGTAATTTTGCATCTTTTTACACACCCTTACTTAATTGGCACGGAGGGAACGAAAAAATTAAGAAAATGAAATTGGTTTATCAATTATATATTATCATCCTGATTATGGCGATCAATAGGAAAATAGAGGATGAACAGACTACTTTAAATGTGTGCATATTGGCAATGGCATAACAAAATCTTGCAAAAAGAAAATGTAGAAGTGAACAATTATTATTCAGAAGTAGGATTTACTGATATAACAATATCCATTTATTACTTTATTAATCTCCAAAATTTTAAAGGTAAATAAACTTCTTATTTAAAAGAAACTGACATTACAAACATAACACAATCAATTTATGAAAAGTACGTTTACACTTCAACACTATTGTGATAAACTAAGTTATGTATCAAATTGTAACATGCTCGTCCAGGTAAAATTGATTGACATTTGCTATTGACTATTTGGTTTTCTTTTTGAAAAATAACATATTTGGTTTTCTTTTTGAAAAATAACAAAAAAGAAAAAAAGAAGAATTAATGGTTTTCATTTTCTTTTAACTTTAATTAAAAATGGAATAAAAGCATATTGTTGTAATTGTTGTAAAATTTCGTTCAAGAAACACCATGAGTTTAAATAATATATATGATTGTAAAACATGTGTCCATACATAAGTAGTTTTAAGAAAATACTTTTAAGACAATACATTTTAAACTTTTTAGATTATTTGTAATGAGAGTTAAATATTTAGATAAAATGTGTTTGTGTGTGGGCGCGCGCGTGCGTGTGTGTATGTTTGTGTTTATTTTCAAGTTTAGATCCACTAAACGTTTGTAATAATTGACTTTAAAACTGATCCACTGATTTAGTGGTGTATTTCCTTTTTTATAATAAATCTTTTTTTTGTTTGTTTATATTTTGATCCTTTGACTTAAATTGTACCGCGACTGTATAATAGACAAAGGGCATTGTTTTTGTCTTCAATCTTATCAACTGTCTTACCAATGCCATGACCTAGTTAAATAGAAAGACGGTATCGCTTAAATAACTTGCGAGATTAAATATGTTTGTTTTTTTAGTAGCGAACAAAACTTTACTTCTTCTCCTATTAAATATCGCATTAATACAAAGTGTGAGTTGTAAATCTCGAAATTTGTATTGAATAATAGTTTTTTTTGTGTGTGGTATTTTAAGTGTTTCGGCCTTTATCAAATTAGCACAGTTCTTACTTTAATTAACCGTTATATAATTACAATTATTATAATAAAGCCCGAAAGATGAATAAAAATAATAATAATTAAAACATATTGGACAATAGATTTTTAATAATTTATAATCCCTAAGGAAAACATCAGTGAAGACTTTCTTTTTGAAAAATATCTGAAGGATTTATTTTAGTTGATTTGTATCTTCACTTCCTTGTTTAATAACAACAAAAAACGTATTAAAGGGTAACTTAATAAAATCCAATGCCAACTGCATGCAACTCGTTAATGATAAAAAAGGAGATTGGTGAGTGACATTGATATTATAATAGATAAATACATGTACATACTAAATTCATTAAATGTAGATAATTAAATCAATATACATTCGATTTATATGTTGATTTTTTAATTTTCATTTCTAATCAATTAATCAATCAATAAATCAATCGATCGATCGATCAATCAATCAATCAATCAATCAAAAAGTTAAACTATCTATTCTAAATTTGATTCATATTTCTATTGTTTATTTTTAGTTATTTCTTATTACATACATTTTTATCTCTCAATGATCGTTTTGTAAACTTGTTGTATGACATAATTCTATCTTGCTTCTTAATTTGAGAACAGAATTCAGATAAATATAGCTCAAGTCCTTTTTATCAGACTGAAAACAAATCTTGTTAATTGATTGATTTAGAGAGTTAAATATACTGCCATAAACCAAACCATTTCAAGTACCATTATTTAAAAGTTGATCTTAATAAGCAAATGAAGAGTAAAGGAGTGAAATTGTCAGAAATGTGTGAAAATTCTAAAATTATGGAATGCCCTTGACTCCGTTCATTTCAGATATTAATCGTTGGATATTCATTTTAATTCATAATCGTAAAAAAAACTTGATATTCCTTTTAAATTGTATACTAATTCGCAAAAGAATTAATTGCTTTATTTTTTGACATAAATGATAATATATCGATGCATTTTTTATTATACCATAAAATAGCAGTTCTAAAAAAACTTCTGTTGGCTGGCTCATAAATCAAGTTTTATCATGGTCACCCAACAACAGTTTATCTTAACTCAGAAAATGGTGATTACCTTCTTTTTAACTGATTTGTACTGGCAAAGTACCAGTCCTAATCGAAAGAATAGCAGTAAGACTCGCAGCAAGCTCAAATTTTCTCAGAGATTGTAGGTATACTGTACATTTAGGTAAGATATAATTTGAAGAAAAGGTCACACAAACATAGACAATTAGCGTGGCAGGCAACATTCATCAAAATATATCATATTATTAATTTTCAAAGTTATGACTTAAGTAAATAGAAGGTAAAAGAAAACGCCAACACTTACGTCGACGAAGGGGTCATGAAAATAGCGTCAATTTACGTGAGCATGCTGGCATGTTCTGAAAATGCAGAAAAGGAAAGATATTTAATGATATAAGTCTTTGACAAATAATAAACATAATTATCATAGTCAAAGCAGTAAAATCAGCATCTTTCGATTATTGGTAGAATTCTGAAAATACTAAAATGCCAAGGACCATTCTTGTCCGCTTATTATTTTTGCCAAACAGTTTATGGTGATTTAATTATAAAAATAAAAGTAATTCCCGTACATTATTTAGCTATATGTCAATAAATTTGAATTAGGGACACAAGTCATCTTTGGGAACATCCATAGCAATGGTGATTTCCATTTTTATTCGTCAATCATCTGCCAACTGTAGATACGCCGCCCAAATAATAACGAACGCGTGAGTCATGTTAAGGCGAACATTAAGAACAAGTAAGAACCAACTGCCAAGTAACTAAGTAAGAACAAATATGATGCAAGCCTTGTTTGATGACGATGGAGGTAAAGTGATGTCTGTAATCCAAGTCTTCTTGCCTCGACTTAAGCAAATTTCAACATTTTAACATAAACTGGCAATGTTGTCAGCTTACCTAAGTAGATGTGTTTATATATCATGTAACTTGCAATTTTCAATGTAATGCATTATTTTCATCTCGTATGGTCACTGACTGAAACAAACACAGTAAGTTTAACAAAATTGCATTGTGAGAGAATATAAAAGGTTATGAATTTTGCGTGTCGCAAACGACAAATAAAAAATACCTCGGTGTTTCGATATGCGACATTAAAAGAATCATAATCCACGACAAACAATACTGAGGTAGTTATCGCGAAATGTATAAATAAATAAAAAATATTAATATTTTCAGCTGTTCAGCAGTCATGTGATAGTTTTGAAGGAGACGTTACAGAAACAAGGGGAATCTGGTATTACCAAGATATATATGCTTCGTTTAGATTTGAAGGATGGTACAGACTACCGATTGGAAACTGGCAACTTCCTGCACAAAGTCAAATGTACAGTGTGTGTGGTACTGTAGGATATTTCGTAGTTCTTACAGGTGACCAGCTCTAGGATTTTATATTCTAAGTTGCGACTATGACATCGATGAATATAGTGCAAAGTCTTCGTTGTAGAATAACTTTTAGATAAGCCTCGTATCATAAGGATAAAGCGTGTCAAATACTGAAAAGTTCTCAGATCAATAGTAAACTGTAGTTGCTACAACTTCGTTAAAGTAATATGTGTTGTAGTATGTTGCTTAGAGGTACTTTCTTTATTTTCAGAGGAGCTACCGTCTACATTAGGAGAGGAGCCTAAAGAGATTAATACCTGCGTGGTAAATGAAGAACTAAGCCCCCACTGCATGATAAATATCGTTGTCAAAATACGTCTATGTGGTGAAAGACTGCATTACTATCTTCCTTATTTGGCCTGGCAGCATCCATGGACGCCTTACTGTTTCGGTAAATGTCAGACTTAAATTCAATCAAAGCGAAATAGCAATTTGTAAAACATTTTACTGATAAATGTTTTATTTTATTTTGAATTGAATGCATAATACTTTTCTGACTGAAAGTTATTCTTTTTAAATGTTATACCAGGAAAACCAAATTTTATATTGTCCAAGGATATTGACAACAATTCCATATTTGAATCACTTTTTTCGACCGTCAAAAGAATATCAGAAAAATGTGATTGAATACTCATCAATTTTGATTGAGGCAAATAACTAGTATTAAAGTGCATCTCCTCCTAAACAAAGTGAAACTTTGTTGTTATATTTTTCTGGTTCTTCGGGATCATTCGTACCAGCACTATTACCGATCAAGCCGGTGCTAGGGGACGGAGGGATGTTACTCTATTCATTATCTCTCATGTACAATCAAACCAAGTCTGCAATTTTCATAAAATTTTGTTGTGATTAATGCTTTCGAAGGATCACTTTGTTTCTAGATTATTATACTTCACAGCGACAGGTGTCTAGTGTCGTGTGGCAGCTGTAAAAAGTTGCCCAGTACTTCACTTCAGTGTTGTTTTATTTCCTGGTCCTTCGGGATCATTGATACCGGCCCTACTAAGTGTTGAGAATTGAGAACCGCTCATGCCGGTGTTAGGGGGCGTTAGGGATTTTGCACTTTTATTCATTATCCCGCATAGACAGACTCAATCAAACTGAGTCTGCATTCTTCATGATATTTTGTTGTGATTAATGCTTCCGAGGGATCCCTTTGTTTCCAGAATTTTTTACTACAGTTCCAATGAACAATAAAATTAAGGCATACTCTTAGTCTTAAACATTCAAACTAATATTGAAGAGTTACCTTTCAAAGAGCATTAATTTCGTTTTCAACATGTTCGATTTAATTAAACTTCCTTTTTAAAATACCGAAGCAAATCATAAGCATTAGGAGGTGTTTCATATCACCATTCAAATGTTGTTGTTTTAGTGTATCTAAAATGATATTTCCTAATCGAATGTAGTTCCAAGCTCTGCAGTTTATCTTCCACCCGGACTTATTGTGAAAGTCCAACCAGAACTCGTTTATACAGAAGAAGATATTGGTGGTCGACAAATGTTAACACCTTCCTTACAGTTTAAATGTATTCCAGAAACAAACAGAACATTGAACAACAAAGTTAAATGGTAATATATCTTTGAAAATTATTTAAAATTCAAACTTGTAATATGTTCGTAGGGATCACTGATTCCAGTACTTTCATTGTTGAAAATTGAGTACCGCTCATTGCTAGGAGTAAAGGATGTTGCACCTTTTCATTATCCGTCATGTACAGACTCAATCAACCCGAGTCTGCAATTTTCATATAATTAAGATGTGATAAATGCTTCCGAAGGACAACACTTTGCACAGATTTTTATACTTCACAGCAACAGGTGTCAAGTGCTAAATGGCAGCTGTAAAAAGTTGCCCGTACATCACTTTAGTGTTGTTATTTTTTATTTGGTCTTTCGGACACATTGATTCCAGTATTTTAGTTGTTGGAGTTCCGCTCAAGACGGTGCTAGGGGGCATGGTTGATGTTTTCAATAACCCCTAATGTACTGACTCAATCAAACCGAATCTGTAATTTTCATGTAATTTTGTTGTGAATAATGCTTCCGATTTCTTCACCCCGGCTTTCAAACAAAATTATCATTTTAAATTTATATTGGTAAGAGTACATTTTGTACTTATACAGTAAACAAATTGTTTACAAATTAAACTAATAATTTGTTTACTCTATTAACTTCTGCTTTTGGAACAATGTATATACTTTTGACAGATGGAACAATACATTTTTACATTTTTGTGCCTCCACTTTAGGGGGGGGGGGGGGGATTTAGTTTTTATCTAGCTCTGATATACTTGATGCTTTCTTGTCGGTTTTAAGACATGTTACTTGAAAAGTCAGTTGGTTGTCACATGACTAAGCTTTTTTCAAATGTTTCCCTTTCAAGCACTGTTCTTACATAGAGACCTAAAATACTAACGTAGTTTACCCTTGCTAAACACACTCAAATGAGTAGGCGATAGGAAACTGTTGTCGATTCACTTAATTTATCATAATTTCGAATAAAAATATGATACGGAGGAAGGTATTAGATAAAGGAAAATCAAAAGGATCATCAAAAACAATAACAACAAAAGTAAAAGCTGTCACAATAACACCAAGACATCAAATATATTAAAGTTGTGTTGGCAGTGCCCTAAAATGAAGTTCAAACATGATTGATTGTAAATAAGAAGCCATTTTTATCTAACATTTTCAGGTACATTAATAATGTGTTTATTAAAGAATACGGACCATCAACAGTTGCTGAAGAATTAGCTTTGAATGAAAAAGATATGGGCGTAGATGGTCTCGGCTTTGAGGTATATGTAGATGAAAATAGAAATAATGTATTCTTATGTGAAACATTGATATTGAATGTTTGCAAAAATATATCTGGGACAGAGAGTAAAGTAAAATAAAAAAAAACATGTACACGGGCTTTCAAAACATAAACATAAATTGACCTATCGAAAATACGTATATGTAAGTGATACATAAAAAATCAAAAGAGGTGATCATACTTATTGTATGTTAATGTAATGAAAATACTACTAGAGGTCATGGGTGATGTACAACATTCCATTTCCTCTCTGAAACATACTTTTTATTCATCAAACCGAGTCTGCAATTTTTATCATTGTACTACTATTAAAGGAACTATTATTCTTATCTTTATTCTTGGTAAATATTGTTATATACATGAAATGACTATTATAATGCGAAGTAGTTTAAGAACTATATTCATTAAATAATGTTTATAAATTACAAGAGGTTGTAACATGACTACAGGTAAAATGTGGAGTGATAGAAGTCAATGAAACAGCAGAATCAAGTGAGACTTTCAGTCAATCGTTCTATGCTGGATTTCAGGTAAGTATACGAAAGCATTAAAGAACAATGGTGAACATTGTCTTGAAGAGAAACAATTGATAAAAAGTCATTACATCAAATAGACAAAAAAGCTGGTATTGTAAATGATATTGCTGCCATTTCTTAATATAAATACATGCCATTTATAACTAAATAACAAATGATGTTACCAATTTTAATTTAGAAATATGATGAAATATATAAAAGAATAAAAGTAATCAGTTAGAAGCACAGACATCGGTAACATATGACTTTACATGTATATCATTCGTGTAACTTCATAATGAGATCTTTTACAAATGGCTAGTTTTACGAGTATTTTAGAAACAGCAAATAAAAAATGTACCATAATATGTTATCACACGAATCTTGGTAATTAGATGTTTATTTGTGAAATGCTTAAATTTAAAGACTTCATCAGAAGAAATAACCGTCAGTAAAAGCAGTTTTGAGGAAGTTACAGTACAACAAACTGTTCCCATGGGATGCAGGTATATTGAGGGTGAAGCCACGTCTTGTTCCACTACAGTGTCTTTATACGATGGTAATCTGAGTGAACACCCATGTGAAGCTGGAATATCTGCGGTTAACGCTGATAATGATGATATGTGCACAAACCAAATACAAGTAGGACCATCATGAGCAATACTTTTTGTTCTCTAGTTAAATAAATTTAACAAGAATGCAGTATTTATTTCTGCTATTATTAACAAAGAAGCTATTGCAATCAGGATATCAAACAAAAAAAAAAACACTAGAAGAAACCTCATTTCCATAACAATTCTTTAGATTGACTCGATATCTTTGTTTTTATACTTTGACTTAAATCTGATTGACCAGGTTTGAAACATTAAAAATAAATCAGATCAGAGTAAATGAAAGTGAGGTTCTTGATACATGTAGCTAATATTAAATAAGGTATCATTTTATTTCTCCAGCAAGATATTAAATCTAGTTGTAATTAACTGTGATATAATAATGACATAACTGCTGCAGAAACATCTCTAATTTGCTTAGTGTTAACATTCGGTCAACTATCGTTCTTATCATATTGCTAATTCGCTTCGTTTTGATTTTTCCCAAGACTCTGCAAAAGAAAGATTCGTGGGACTCTAATAAGAAATATAAATTTCGAGTTTCTACTGTTGATAGTAATTATGATGACGGGAAAGAGTTTGGTGTTCGTGTACAAATAGGAAGTACGGTAGATCATGCAATATGGAAAGGATACACAATTGAAAATATCAAGGTATGCATATCTCCTTCATTCTGTAACGATTTCGATGACATGTTTATCTGAAAAATGAAGCAGTTTAATCCGCTTGTGTCATGTTTGTGTCGTGTGCTTAAAACAAGAATAACTTAGTTCTTCTCAAAATAATGTTATAATAATACAGACTTTGTTATCATCCAAATTGAAGTGCTTGGTATATTATAATTGTATACAAATAATTGGAATATCGTACCGCCTTCCATGTAATTCTTTAAGTAATCCGTTTCTTTGAATTAAACGTAACAGTGAATATTGTTTAATTTAAAAAAAATAATTTCTTATTTTTATTTTATTTTTTATTTTATTTATTTATTCTTTTGCACACAAAAATAAATTTTACTATGATTTTTGTATGTTATTCGGCTTTTATATTTGCTTTTTATAATTATATTGTATTTTGAATAAATGCGAACAAATGATTACACAATTAGCTATAGGATTCTCGTCTAATATACAATGTATGTGATTATTGGTTATAATAGGTGAAAGTGACTGATACTGGAACATATCAAAACAAAATGTGCTACTCGCACGTGGATCCACACATGAGAACTGGTGATGGAAGGTATTTTGTGCTATTTAATTTTATTTTATGTTATTTTGTTATGTGGAAATATAGTTATCTTTTCTTGACGTTTTTTTATTTAGCTCTTTTTAAGGTTTAAATTTCAATAAGTCAGTTTTGTCGCAAGATTTTTCCTTTATTCGTGTTTGTCTAATGAATTACTAGCTTAAGAGCACATCTAATTATTCGTAGATAAGTTTCGCAAATTAATATTTTTTTCCGACAAAAGACAAGAATTGTCTTTAAATTCGTGAATTGTCATTGTCATATCATCCATTCTTCTTGAAGGTCGTATGAAAACCAAAGAGAAGGATATTACATGTTGTTTCAACACAAAAGCAGTGACATTGAAGTTAGTATTTTCTATTTTCTTTTTACTGTTTATATCAAGAGAGATAGATTTTTATTTTCTCTGAAAATGTAAAGAAAAACAACATTGTTTTCTGGTAAAGTATTTTGATAAAATTATTATTTGCTTAAATTGACTTTTTCGATTGCTTTTTGATAATTATTGATAAAAGAATTATTTGATGTTTTATTGGTAAAAAGGTACAGGAAAGAACGAAATACTGCTTTGGTGGTGGTAGGGGACCAGTTTGCGCATGTGCTATTGCCGTTCGTGCTGGTGCTGATGTATTTATGATCAACCGCTGTGGAACAATAAACTTCCTCGACTTCGTCAGTTGTGATGATGGTGGAATTATTCAAGTAGAAAAGTTAAATGATGCAACTTATAAGGTAATACTTTAATAGTGAATTATGCTTTCCATATCTTAATATGTTATGGTTTCATGCAAACTCATGCGCTTTTTTTCTGTCGTTGCGAAGTTCAGTTCAATCAGAGATATTTCAAAGAATTGATCATTTTGATGGTTAATTTACTAATTATGGTAATTAGAAAAGTTTAGGATGAAATATAGAAATTGCCTAATTAGACTGTTCTACTGTCTTTGCCAATTGAACACATCCGAATTCTGAAAAAAATATCTGTAGAAACTCCCACGTGCAACGTGGGTTATTATATAATCATTAACAGTTGATTATAAAATTAGAAATAAGAATTATTGCAAAATTCAAACTTATTTGACATTAACTTGCACTCACACGATTTATAATGTATAAACATAATGCCACTTTAATTCTGATTTGCGTTTTTTCATGATTCTGGTAATATTTTGATAGTTTTCAAAGTGATTTCTTTTTAGATAATCACACCAACCGGAACGCAAGTTATTGTAAATTTACTCGGGGGATATTACCAGAACACTATGAATATTGATATAATTATGTCACCAAAAGATCTTGGGAACACACAGGGATTATGCGGAAACTTTGATGGGGATCCGAATAATGATTTCGTATTAAAAGATGGGACCCAAGCAAGCAATAACAACGATTACAGGTTTTCTGAAAGCTGGAGGTATAGTCTGTTTTTAATATTCACCAAATCGTTTTCAAGCAAATCATTGAATAACTTTTTTGTTGATATTCATATTTATACTTTTCTGGACGTATTTTATATTACACAGCAATGCAAAGATATAAATGCATAAGATATAATGTTATGGTCTTTTATGAAGGTTGCCGGGAAATATCAACCTGTTCACGCTGTCTAAACGTGTCTTAGAAAATTGGGCTGCTAGGAATGAAGTGACGTGTCGTTGTGTAGACGGTATTTGTACTGTGCAAAAGCGACGTGAATGTGGTCGAACAGCAAATTCAATAACAAAGAAAAAGTGCGACATACACAGCCGAAAGAAACGTGAGATGGGAGCTGAAAAGCATCAGCAAGAAATAGATCGTCTCTATAAGTTAATGCAGACATCCAGACCTGTAATCGTAAAGGTTAGTCTTAAAACGTACAGACAAGCAATATTTTGTATTACATTCTTTTTCATGGATTTACTTTCAACGTCTTAAACAGTGTTCTAAATGATTTCTTATTCAAATACATGTACACACGTTATAATGATATTTAAATATAAAAAAGTTATTTATTGAATTTTTAAAAGCCTTATTACAAACAAAATTGCAACATATGTTCTCGCGAACATCAAAAATCATTTTTGTTGTTTACATACTGATTGGTGTATGCTAGTCAGGAAAATGCCTCAAATAATTAGACAGTTTGGTTTGATTTGTACATTACTATCAAGTTTTATTTCCTGTACAGGTTATCCATATAAAATCATTAAGATGCATGCCATTTTTTTTTGTCCTAGGTTATAGTAACTTATTAGAATATTTAAAGTTATTTATCTGCTGCAAAAATTGATATTTTAATTTTGAAAATGAAATTGAAAAAAACCTGCATGGAAGAATGAAAGAAATATGTTTGTATATTCGCAAAAAAAGCGAATGGCACATGCTACTTTAATTAGCAGCATACTCTTTTATTCCAAGACAGTTTATTCTGATTATAAAAACAATAAAATAATTCTGTTTAAAATCATTTGATTACCTTTATACCATTTATCACCTCAAATAAAAATACTATTTTTTTCTTTCTATATTTATATCCAAAACCTTCAGAGAAATTTGGATTTAAAAATACGAGAGGCGGTAACTTAATATCATACTATTCCGTGTTTTCAGCGAAGTACAGAAGAAACTAATATAACAGCTGATGAAGCTAAGACAATATGTCGAGAGTCAATTTACTCAAGTCCGGCCATCAGGGAAATGCCAGATAAAACTGCAGGTGAAGACCCTGAAGAAGTTATAAGACAGTGTATTTTTGACGTACAGGTAATTATGATCAGTATTGAATTTGTGTTTTTTTTTCACATGGTATCTCATATTTTTATGTCAATTTTATTGATTTTCCTTTATCTTGCAGAATCGAATTCACGATAATATTACAAACAAGCTGCTATTTTATATTGATTGTTTCCACTCAAATGTTTATATTGATTGTTTCCACTCAAATGTTTATATTGATTGTTTCCACTCAAATGTTTATATTGATTGTTTCCACTCAAATGTTTATATTGATTGTTTCCACTCAAATGTTTATATTGATTATGTCCACTCAAAAGTTATTATTTCTTTGAAACATTATGTAACTGATAGATTGATTAATATTTTGTTAACAAACTGATATTAAGAATTTCTTTTTGTCTGGCATGAGTTAATACTCTTTAAATAATGTTTTCAAACAGAGACTATTTTGAATAGAATATGCTATTTCTTCATTATCTTGGTGTCTTTTACATGTTTTATATATACGTACTATAAATATAAAGCACACGTCCGTTCACTTTGATCAAATGAGCAAATTGGTTGTTTATTTAAATTTCCACTGACCTTGAGTCGCATGGGTCAAAAGACATACTTGCGCATCTGAGTAGAACTATTTATTTGTTTATCAATTAAATTTACCAAATGATCCATTGCAACACATATAGTAATTACACTTGTCAAGAATGTAAATAAAATCATTTAAGTGATTACTTAATGATTCGCTTAAGATGTTTAAAAATGTAACTTTAAAACAGTGAATTATTTGGCAGATGTATTTTCGGTAAACCGGTAGGATAGGTTGCCATTTCAATATTAGTAATTAAGATATTCACACCATTTATTGATTGCAGGAATCAAACGACAAATCTTGGGCGAGTGTGCATGTCGATGCTGTCAACACAATAGCAAAAACGATTTTGGACCTGAATCCGGTGTATGTCGCAAACAAAACTGATGATGTAGAAATATTCCTAAAACAAACCTGTGTGGGTAATTGCAGTGGCAATGGATTGTGTCTAGACACAGGTTTGCTGTATTTTATCCCATATCAACAGAACAAAATTGCTGCATCCTTATTTCTGTACCAATAAGTCCTACTTTCACGTCATTTTTAGTGAGACAAATGTGATTAATGATATATTATGATGTTTTTGATCTTATAGTAAATCTTTTTTTGTGTTTATGTGTAAAATAACACACAGTTTATTACAACAATTATAGATATATGAATACTTGTTCCGTTCGTATATTTCTATCACATGATTTTCTTTCTTGAAAATATTATGATTGTTTTAGTTTCATTTTCAGATTCATTTTGTAACCTATCTTGTTCAAATTGTACTACTCATATCAAACAATTTTGATATTGGCAAGACGACTTCTTTTTAATTTCCAGGTGAGTGTAACTGTACAACCTGGTACAGGGGATCTGACTGCAGTTATGATCTACGTGTGCCTGTGGTAATAGAAGATATCCAAGGCGGAGGGGAATGTGACAAAGCCAATTCTTCTGACTGCACTTGTTTTACTATTCGAACAGATAACATCTTTGATGGATTCTATTGTCAAATATCTATTTCCAGGGTAATTCCATACAGTAATACTAAAAGAAATGTTATTTGTTTTTAAAAATTTTTAATGGCTTTATCTACCAAAATTTTGCATCCGTTCAATCAAGATTTAGTGCATATTTATATGTATTGAAAAGTCTGTGTTTTTTAATCAGCATGGATGCCGATCTGTTACAGAAGTACATACAATTGTTGAAGAACTTTGTAAGATCGATATATCAGTTTTTTTCTGAATATCTGAATACCGCTTAAATACGTAACATTGGGAATAACATGATATTTATGTTGCATAAATAGTTGTGTTTTGTTATAATTTTAATAAATTGGGCTTTCATTGCTCCCTTTCCAGACATTTTGTGAAACAAGACTTTTCAATAATAACATTTTAAGTTTTTCTATCGAGTTGTCCAATTTTATTGTGCATAATTCATTTAAATGAATTTATTTTTCTAAGGGTCAAGTTTATATTACTTTCATATGTACACAGAAAAAATGAACAATATAATTTTTAAATGTTTAAACTTGTTCTGTAGGATTTATATTCTCGCCTCACTGTTATTCTGTTTTAAATTTCCAGATAAATAAAACTGGTCAAGAACAAACTTTAGTTGAGAGCTATAAAGAAAAGGGTGGATATGAAGATATTTTCACAGGCACGTGTTGCTTAACATCCGAACAAGAAGATTTGTCATCGGAAATGACAGATTATGTTCACGTGTATAGGTTCTCCGCAAGCAATGACGGAAACAACTTTGGAGATCCACAAACAGTTTATGTGTATGATACAACGTGTCATGATGTTTATATAAATGGAACAAATTATGTGGTTACTCTTAAGGTAAATTGATAAAACATAGTATTTAAATACGCATTTCAATTTCCTTATTAAAAATGGTGTGTTTTTTATTTTCATATGAATAATAAATTTGTTGACAGAAGATCTTACATGAGTCTCTTTTTATATTGCATTTATTAAACTCATTGAAACAAATTAGAAAATACAATTATTTTAAACATGTTGCGTTAAAGTGGCATAATGCCCATACAAGAGTAAATAGTAATTGAAACGATTTTTATTTCATCATGAACATCTTCCAATGTCAGCTGAAAAATATAGTCCTTTAAGGTCAACTTGACAATGAAACAATAGTAAAATATCACTTTAATACGTTTATAAAATTCAAGGTTTTTATTTAACGTGTATAATAGATTTCAATAATTATGGATTATAGACAATCCTGTACAGTCCTCAATTTTTAACTTTTTCAAAATATATTACTTATCGCATGCTAAATACAATTTTATCAGTCTCCCATATATACTTTCTTTTATTCATTTTTAAAGGACAACTTTTGTTTCATCGAGGGTCAGTGTTTCTATGAAGGGGAAGTGTCAATGACAAGTTGCATGTTTTGTAACTCAACTGAAAATGCTCGAAACTGGACAGGTACTTCTTTATATATTTATTCAACTATTCTATAAGTTATTATGATGATTATAATTATGGTGACTATTATTTAAAATAATTTGCGATATGTTAATAGCAACTGTTACATAAAGTTTCTTATTTGTTAAATCATATTAAACAAAAGCAAGAAACTGTTTCTTATTTATCGAGTCAGGTGAAATGAAATAGCATCTTATTCTTTGAGTGGAGTGGCAGCATCAAGTCCGGTAAAATTGAGGTATTAGTGGTGTTGGAGGTATTATAACTGTGTAAGATGTTAGTTCATTTGATATCGTTTACTTCAAATACAATATTTACACGAGTGGCTCACTCGAAATTTCATATTTACACATAAAACAGATCAATATTTGCTATGCTCATTAAGAAGCAACATACATTTTTTTATTCATTATGTCTTGACAAATGGATATTATTAACAGTTGATCACAAAATTTGGTGAAAAGAAAGCAGCATACTTTCTTGTTCATTGAACCTGGTGAAATGGAAATGATTAACTGTTTCTAATTCGTTATATCTGTTAAATGGATGACATATTTTCATTGACGCATAAACATGGGGTGATGCGTTATAAATGCTCGGAATTTAATCAAATGTTTATATATGTTTTTCACTTTGACAATTGCTTAGGGATAACAAAACCTTATCAGTCTGAAAATGTCGACTAATGCCGGATAATGTCGAATAAACCCGAAGCCGCTTTTGCTTTTTTTCAGCAATTTTCGTAAATATATATTTAGTTAATTTGTGTCACGTCATTATTTAAGATATTGTGAATAATGCGTCTCAAATACATGCTCATATATTACATTACATTGCGGACCTGGTTTGTTTCAGTCTGTTCATGAGGGATAATGAAAACATGCAACATCCCTCACGCTCCCTTGCACCGGCTTGATCTGTATGCAATAAAAGCTTATGCTTCATTTTGTAACAATCATTTAGCCATTGACATAACTAGCTTCACTGTATTTCAGAGTACAACCAGTGTTTGAATGGAGGAACTTGTGCCTATCGTGACAACCAACATGCATGTGATTGTACTGCAGGATATACAGGAAGTACTTGCGAAACAGGTAGCCCCTTAATTTTTATGATTTTCATCGTAATGGTATTCACAAGCGAAATGCCACGAAATTAAGTAAAAGAAAATATGCCGACAGGCCCTTATAATTCGTTTTTACACAGTAACATCACTGTTTTGATTTTCTTTTAAATAATGTTATAATATTTTCTGTCTTAAAAGAACGCATTTTTCTAAATGTGTCATTTGAAATGTGTTATAAATTAGTATGATATACTGTATGACAGGTAAACTTTGATTATTTTTAAACTTTAAGATATAGATGAATGTTTGTCACTTCCTTGTAAGAATAACGGCACGTGCGTTGATGTTGTCAATGGATACATTTGCAATTGCTCGGATGGATATGAAGGTCAAAGCTGCGAAACTGGTAAAATTGTTAAGCATATCTAAAAAATCATAATTTACAGCGCATTTAAGTCGTTTCTGCTAAACTAATCATTTAGTTACGTTTTCTTTCACAAAAAATGCACACAAATATTATATTTGCAACGTGAGCACATGGATAATGCGTGATAAGAGCAGCGCTGGAAATATTTTCTTTTCCAACATTTGACCATGGTACGATGATGATTTGGTTAGGTATGTTTATATTGTTTTCAGATATAGACGATTGTGTAGAAAACCCATGCGGGACTGGAGGTGAATGTGTGGATAAAGTGAATGGATTCAGTTGCAACTGTAGACAAGGTTACACTGGTGATGTTTGTGAAACAGGTTGGTGTTATATACTATTATTACCCCTCACTTTTTTCGTAATGCTAATTTCCCATAGGCCTCTGGGAGTTATTTTTACTGTTAATGCAAGTGTACCACGTGACTAAGAATTTTGTACTGTTACATAGGTAACAGTATTTTTTAAGAGGTCACGTGGTCTATTTCCTAAATAAAATGAAATGAAATGGCCGCCATTTTGTTCTCGATTCATTCTTATTTTCAAAGTTTAACCCCGATAGGACATCAATTTCTCCTCTTGAGTCCCTATGACACTCATAAAATTTAGTTGTTTGCACCCTGGTGAGCTTTTCGCGTATAAAATATCTTTTTGCTGAATAGTCGAAAAGTGAACATCCGTTTTCAACGGAAGTAATTGCAATGTAAATAATGTGTCAAACTGGAACATACAGACGATTTAAGCATGCAACAAAGGATTATTTAACAAATTTAGTCAGTGAAACGTTACAGATATGGTGGACATAGGATATCATCGTTATTTTGTCAAAAACCATGCTAAGAATATTCTGGAAACAGAAGGATCCGATTTCACAGATCATAACCGTGTAAATGGGTTAGTGTTTTGTTTCCTAAATAAAACCTAGCTTATTGTATGTTTATGATTTGTAGATATCATCACTTGCTTAAAGAATGAAAGAAAAAGAAAACTTCTCAAGTAGGCCTACGGTAAAGTACACTTAAAACTTAAAAGATAAGGACAGTTTAGTTATTGTTATTCTTGGTTTATTTTTGTTACAGTTAGATTTAAATTGACAATTTCAGATCATCTCAGTATTTTTGTTCGTGGTAATAAAATAAATAACACATGGGTTTGTGAGTAACAGTAAAAATATCATCCCTCGTAAAAATACTGTTACCCTCGGCTACGCCTCGGGTAACAGTATTTTCCTCGGGATGATATTTTTACTGTTACCCACAAACCCATGTGTTATTTATATACTATTTTTATACTACTCTTTGTATATTATTTATTTTTGCTTATAAATTGTATATTTTATATTAATGCCTTTCAAAAAGTAAGCTGAACGAAGACATCGGTCTTGATTTACAATCAATAATGTCTAGGCATATATAAAGCTGGAAAAGGGCAGAACCCTCGGAAGCGACGAATAACAACAGCATTAGACAGGTCTGATTTAAATCTCATCATCTCTCACGTCCATGGAACTGGTTTAAGCGGTATGAAATCTTCAATTATTATACTAAATGTGCTGGAATCAATGATCCCGAAAAGACAGAAAATTGAACAACACTTGAGTGAAAAACGGGGCAACTTTTGCAGTACTGCATTTGACAAAATAAACATTTCCCTTTTTCTTTCAGATATAGACGAATGTTTATCTCAGCCATGTACGAATGGGGGTTTGTGCGTAGATCAGGTCAATGGGTACAATTGTACATGTGTTGATGGCTATGGGGGCGCCACGTGCGATACTGGTAATCTTAAAAAGTGACATTTGTACTATATGATAGATTCAGTGTCTGATTTCTGTTTACATTTCTTGAGTTTTCTTGTTTGTCTGGTTGGTTGACTGGCTCGATAGTGGCTGTATGGTTGATTTGTTGAATTGTGAACATGGTCAACAAGGAAAGACGTCGTTCAATGACCAACATTTGAATAAATAATAATTTGAACTTTAAATTTTTTTTTTGATAGATCTGTATACTCGTGTGAAAAGGACTTGTTGTCATTTATCTTTGCTTTTAATCTAACAAAGTTATCATCGTTTGAAATAACAGTATGTAATGAAATAATATGCGATGTATCTTTTCTATTTAAGAGATAGACGAATGTTTGTCGGATCCTTGTCAATATGGGAACTGTACTGATATATTTACTGGCTATGTGTGTACCTGTTTGGAGGGATATGAAGGACAAAATTGTGAAATAGGTATATATTATGAATATGCTTTAAGGAAAATATCTTATTGGACACAAAATATATTTCAAGACATCATTCGACAAGATTCGATGGTTCGTTTGGCACTTGCCTGTCTTTGGACATATATCGTATCCAAACTAATGATGCACATTTAAATACCGTTATGATTCCAATGATATATATCATTTTGAATTAAGTAAACATTTGGAGAACTTTCATATAGCCAATAGTAAGTACTGTAGTAAACATAATGCTGTTTAATATGTGTACAATTTTGTTGGTACATACATGCGTGAACATAGAGCATTCTCTTATAAAGCTCATGCATTGTACTGAAGTACTAATTGTGGTTGTTTGATTTTTCTTAGATACCAATGATTGTGTACCGTACCCGTGTCAACATGATGGTACTTGTATGGATTTTGTCAATTCCTATAAATGTACTTGTGCAGATGGCTATAATGGAACTCACTGTGAAATAGGTATTAAGTATTTGTGTTTTATCAACGTGAGTGCTAAAAACAATTAAAAAGTGTTTGCAGTATCAATAGCATAATCTTGCGAAAATCAAACATGTGTACAATTCAGTGCAATAATAATGTTTTAATAATAAATGGATATAATTTTCAGATATAAATGAATGTGAATCCAGTCATAATGATAATTTAATAATAAAATGAAGATTACAATGACAATAATGATGATTTATTGAAAAACTGTTTGAATAATAAAAAGATGAAATTTTCAGATATAAATGAATGTGAATCCAGTCATAAGGGTAAATTAATTAATAATAAAATGAAGATGACAATGATGATGATGATGATTTATTGAAAACCATCCTGATTACAGAACTTCGTTATATTTTCAGATATAAATGAGTGTGAATCCAGTCCGTGTCAGAATGAAGCCGAATGTAAAGATGATGTCAATCAATATTCATGCACGTGTAAACCTGGATACATTGGGACCCACTGTGAAACAAGTAGGTGCCATGATTCAATTAATTATGCCCCCATTTTGAAAAAAATGCACTTGTCGGTCCGTCGGTCCGTCGGTCCGTAGACCAAATGGTTTCCGAGTGATAACTAAAGAACCCTTAGGCCTAGGAACTTCAAACTTGGTATGGTGATTGGTCATGACCAGTAGATGACCCCTATTGATTTTGGGTTCAAGGGGTCAAAGGTCAAGGTCACATTGACCTTGAAAGCAAAAACGGTTTCCGATCAATAACTAAAGAACCTTAAGGCCTAGGAACTTCAAACTTGTTATGGTGATTGGTCATGACCAGTAGATGACCCCTATTGAGTTTGGGGTCAAGGGGTCAAAGGTCAAGGTCACATTGACCTTGAAAGCAAAAACGGTTTCCGATCAATAACTAAAGAACCTTAAGGCCTAGGAACTTCAAACTTGGTATGGTGATTGGTCATGATCAGTAGATGACCCCTATTGATTTTGGAGTCAAGGGGTCAAAGGTCAAGGTCACATTGACCTTGAAAGCAAAAACGGTTTCCGATCAATACCTAAAGAACCTTAAGGCTTAGGAACATCAAACTTGGTATGGTGATTGGTCATGATCAGTAGATGATCCCTATTGATTTTGGGGTCAAGGGGTCAAAGGTCAAGGTCACATTGACCTTGTAGGTAAAAACGGTTTCCGATCAATAACTAAAGAACCTTAAGGCCTAGGAACATCAAACTTGGTATGGTGATTGGTCATGATCAGTAGATGACCCCTATTGATTTTGGGGTCAAGGGGTCAAAGGTCAAGGTCACATTGACCTTGTAGGTAAAAACGGTTTCCTATCAATAACTAAAGAACCTTAAGGCCTAGGAACTTCAAACTTGGTATGGTGATTGGTCATGATCCGTAGATGACCCGTATAGATTTTGGGGTCAAAGGTCAAGGTCACATTGACCTTTTAAATAAAAAAAGGTTTCTGATCAATAACAAAAGAACCCTTAGGCCTAGGAACTTCAAACTTGGTATGGTGATTGGTTATGACCAATCAGATGACCCCTATTGATTTTGGCGTTAAGGGGTCAAAGGTCAAGGTCACATTGACCTTGTAGGTAAAAACGGTTTCCGATCAATAATGAAAGAACCCTTAGGCCTAGGGACTTCAAACTTGAGTTGGTGATTGGTCATGATCAGTAGATGACCCCTATTGATTTTGGGGTCTAGGGGTCAAAGGTCAAGGTTACATTGACCTTGTAGGTAAAAATGCTTTCGGATCAATAACTTAAAAACCCTTATGCCTAGGAACTTCAAACTTGGTATGGTGATTGGTCATGACCAGCAGATGACCTATTGATTTTGGGGTCAAGGGGTCAAAGGTCAAGGTCACATTGACCTTGTAGGTAAAAACGGTTTCCGATCAATTAACTAAAAACGCTTAGGCCTAGGAACTTCAAACTTTGTGTGATGATTGGTCATGACCAGCAGATGACCCCTATTGAGTTTTAGGTGAAGGGGTCAAAGGTCAAGGTCACATTGACCTTTTAAGTAAAAACGGTTTCTGATCAATAACTCAAGAACGCTTAGGCCTAGGAACTTCAAACTTGGTATGGTGATTTGTCATGACCAGCAGATTACTCCTATTGATTTTGGGATCAAGGGGTCAAAGGTCAAGGTCACATTGACCTTGTAGGTAAAAACGGTTTCCGATCAATTAACTAAAAACGCTTAGGCCTAGGAACTTCAAACTTTGTGTGATGATTGGTCATGACCAGCAGATGACCCCTATTGAGTTTTAGGTGAAGGGGTCAAAGGTCAAGGTCACATTGACCTTTTAAGTAAAAACGGTTTCTGATCAATAACTCAAGAACGCTTAGGCCTAGGAACTTCAAACTTGGTATGGTGATTTGTCATGACCAGCAGATTACTCCTATTGATTTTGGGATCAAGGGGTCAAAGGTCAAGGTCACAATGACCTTGTAAGTAAAAACGGTTTCTGATCAATAACTAAAGAACGCTTCGGCCTAGAAACTTCAAACTTGGCATGGTGATTGGTCATGACCAGCAGATGACCCCTATTGATTTTGGGGTCAAAGGTCAAGGTCACATTGACCTTGTATGTTAAAACGGTTTCCGATCAATAATAAGAGAACCCTTAGGCCTAAGAACTTCAAACTTGGCATGGTGATTGGTCATGACCAGCAGATGACCCCTATTGATTTTGGGGTCAAGGGGTCAAAGGTCAAGGTCACATTGACCTTGTAGGTAAAAACGGTTTCTGATCAATTTACTAAAAACGCCTAGGCCTAGGAACTTCAAACTTTGTATGATGATTGGTCGTGACCAGCAGATGACCCCTATTGAGTTTTGGGTCAAGGGGTCAAAGGTCAAGGTCATGACCAGTAGATACTTTATAACCCTTATTAATTGTTTGATCACTGGGTCAGACGTCATGCATAATAACCTTATCACATGACTAATTGGCTGCTGATAGGGGGCATACATGTTTAACAAACATATCTTGTTTAGATTGATTTGTATTTATTCCCTTATTTGAGCAAATCGGAACACAATTTCATTATTTATTGTTAGTATAATTGTCCAACAAAGGTGTGTGTGAATGTGATATGAATCTTTAATATTTAGGTTAAATACAATCTTTAGAATAAAAATCAAAGTTTTAACTTATTTGAAAATTTATATATAGGGCGATTAAAATGGACAGAAAGTTTAATTCGTCTTAATGAAGAAATTTTTATTAACATTATTAGACATAGATGAATGTCAATCCAATCCGTGTCAGAATGAAGCCCAATGCATCGATGAAGTCAATCAATATTCATGTTCGTGCAAAGATGGGTACACGGGAATCCATTGTGAAACAAGTATGCATCTTATTAGTTTGGTCACATCTATCAGTTTTGTTTATTTTCTATTTATGTATTCTGATCTGTTTTAAAATATCCAGAATCTACAAATGAATGTTTATTTCTAATAAATGTATTTTCATCTTTTTTGAAAAATCCAGAACCTGCAAAGAACTACAGTTTCTTCAATAAGAAATTAAAAAGATATACCTTTCTTTGTACTTGCACGTTTTCTATTAAAAAGAAGCTTTTTATATTTGATTTTATGATGTTTTTGTGTATTATGTTCCTATGTAAGGTCTTACAATCAGCATTTTGACCTTTTTTATCATCAGATATAGATGAGTGTCAATCCAGTCCTTGTCAGAATGACGCTGAATGCATCGATGGAGTCAATCAATATTCATGTACGTGTAAGGCAGGCTACACTGGCACCCATTGTGAAACAGGTATTATTATGAGTCTTGATTATACGTATTTTACACACACGTTCAGGTCTATATAAGTACATGTATGTCACGAAGGGAACCTGTCTAGTAAAATAATCTTTACATTGTGTGTTTAATCTTTTATAAGCAGAGATAGACGAGTGTCAATTGAATCAACATCAAACAAAAGCCGAATGCACGGACAAAGTGATTCATGTACGTTTAAAGCTGGCTATACTGGGAAACATGGTGAAACATGAACCTACACAATCCTTGTGTATTGTGTACATTTTTTAACATTCGTGACTTCATACTTTACGATATATTACATTGAACATGTGGATATACTTTATGAATGACAGGTTATTTGTTGATAAAAGGTTCAGTATGAGTGCTTATCTATTTTAATCAGAAATAGACGAGTGTCAGTCGAGTCCATGTCAGAACGGAGCTGATTGTACTGACAAAGTGAATGAATATTCATGTACGTGTAAAGATGGCTACACCGGAACCCATTGTGAAACAAGTAGGTATCGTAACACAGGTACTTGATGAATTTAAATAGAAAAAAATTATAGTACATATTGAAGACTCTTTATAAAGGACCATTTCTTTTCATTGTATTCATTTATTGTCTACATATCCGGACAGCAAAGTAACTTGTTATTTCATTGTTGTAGACTTCATACCTGATTTTATTTCTTTCACACCTTCGTAAGGGCGAAACGTGTGGAACAGGATGCTTTTCTTTCAATTACATTATGTACAAATTAATTTACATCATCAGATATAAACGAATGTCTATCGAACCCGTGTCAGAATGAAGCCGAATGCGTGGACGAGGTCAATCAGTATTCATGCACGTGTAAAGCTGGCTACACAGGCATTCATTGTGAAACAAGTAGGAATATTTACATATCATTTATATTAATTAATTCATTCAGTTAGTACTGAATTCATTAACTTGCTTAACATTTGATGTTAAAACACAACATATTGTACCGTTGTTTTCTAACGTACGAAATTTGTATCAGATTAATGAACATTTGTAAAGGGAAGCAATGTTGTAATGTTTAACTTTTTGCCTTACAGGTAACGCTTTTTTTCGGGCCCGAATCGGGTTACGACAATGTTTCCTTATGTAACGCCAGTACTGGTACACCAATACTGGTAAATCTAAAAACAGGACTTGGCGCTATAATTGATATATTGAATCACGCACTTGTTTAAATATTGAGCTTAAATAAGACGTTTCAAAATAAAACCAGGAACCAATTTAAAAAGCTTCGCAAATAAGATTAAAAAATATAGAATAACAACAGCAACCACAACAAAAACAAACGACATATTTATGGATAAAATGAACTTTTAATTTTATGGTTTTCATAAGTTTCTTCAGTCTTGTCTCTTCATAAATGTGCCTCATATTTCTTTTATCAAATACTTAAAATGCTTTGAAGTCTGTATGTTTTTATTTCCTTTTGGACACCAACAAATTTTTTACCAGAAAATAACATGTAGGGGGTTTTTTTTATCAGTACTTCTGTTTTACATTACCAGATGTAAATGAGTGTCAATCCAGTCTTTGTCAGAATGACGCTGAATGCATTGATGGAATCAATCAATATTCGTGTACGTGTAAAGCTGGCTACACTGGCACACATTGTGAAACAGGTAAAACAACATTACATTGTATCCGTGTAACTTTATACTTTAGGGGTTTGAAATAAATCTTACAAATAAAATATATAAAGGAGACGTTTATTATAATTATCATATTACATAACTTGCTTTTTCTTACATTTTATCAGAAATAGACGAGTGTCAATCGAATCCATGTCAGCATGAAGCCGAATGTAGAAACGAGGTCAATCAATATTCATGTTCGTGTAAAGATGGCTACACCGGGACCAATTGTGAAACAAGTAGGTATCGTAATATCAGTTCATATTTAACATGACTTGAACACTTGACTATGAAGAGATTTTGTTCAATTTGATGGATACGGATTTCCTTATATTTACCTTACTTTGACCAGATTTTTTTTATAATTTTGCTGTTGTTTGTAAATTGAATGTTCGTTTATCTAAATGGTGATAATTGTTTTGATGAATGTATTTTTAAAGGACTTTATCTATATTTTACAATTTCTGCCAGAGTAGTAAATAAAGTTCTAATGTGTTTTCCTTACTACGGTGTTTTTTTAAAGAAAATATTATATACATTATTAGACATAGATGAATGTCAATCAAACCCTTGTCAGAATGAAGCCGAATGCATCGATGACGTCAATCAATATTCATGTACGTGTCAAGATGGATACACAGGCAGCTATTGTGAAACAAGTAAGCATCACACTATTTGTTGTCATTATTATCAATTTAATTAGTTATTCAATTATAATTAACTGGAGTAAAATTTTGAATTAAAGTACGGCACATTTACAACAAAATGTCAGATGAGTCAGAGAATAGAAACCAAAGTAGAAACACAATCCTTCAATAAAATCGTTTCAGTTATTTCTATCTTTCCCATTTCTTTACGTAATCGCGTATTGATTGAAATTGTAAACTATTGTGACGCCTGTATGCTTGTTTTACTTTTGAAATACTATTTTGTATTCCTTCAAAGTTGAAATCGGTATTTCTAGTTTTTTTTATATTTTGTACATTATCAAATATAATTTATTGAGCACATGTCAGAATGTTGTAAATCTGTCCGTCTGAAATTTTTATTTGTTCGAAACATTTTTTCAAACATTTTTGTTCTGTTTTGAATTATCAGATATAAATGAGTGTCAATCGAGTCCGTGTCAGAATGATGCTGAATGCATTGATGGAATCAATCAATATTCATGTACGTGTAAAGCTGGCTACACTGGCACCCATTGTGAATCAGGTAAGCAACTTATCGCATAAGTATATTTCATGAATTAGGGATTTACTATTAAGAATTTGCAAATAGCTCTCGGACGTTATATTTTATGCTATTGGAATGTTTCTTTAATAAGTGTTTTTCTTGTTCTTGTTTTTTTTTTAACAGAAATAAACGAGTGTCAATCGAGTCCATGTCAGAATGAAGCCGAATGCATTGATGATGTCAATCAATATTCATGTACATGTAAAGCTGGCTACACGGGTACCCATTGTGAAGCAAGTATGTATCGCAATATATCATAAAAATTATAACGCTAAATTGAAATCGAATAACGCCATTGCATTAAACTAATTAATATTGTTTTCTTTCTTAATAAATTAAAAAGGAATACAAACATTTTATTGTGTTTCATTTGTTAACAGATTATCTATAAACCACACTGCTTAAATAGCTTCTAATTGTGATTTTTTTTCTTAAAGACTGTTGTATAATACAAATTTTGGAAATAGCTAACATGATCTCATTAAAGTGCAATATAGGGTGTTAAACTGATAATTTTTAAGACAGTTATTTTTATACTTATTTTAATTTACATTGTCAGATATAAATGAATGTCAATCCAACCCATGTCAGAACGAAGCCGAATGCATCGATAAAGTTAACCAATATTCATGCACGTGTAAAGATGGATACACAGGCGTCCGTTGTGAAACAGGTATGCATCGTAACCGTATTTCATATATTTGTCATTAACTTTTGTCAAAAATAGAGGTATGTAACTAGAATATCTACGAGGTCAGATTGACACAGAGCCCAGAAGATGAGTACACAAAACTGACATGTAATATTTATTAAAAGTTATTTTACTTACTATTATTAGTAATGTATACGGTTTTATGAATTTATTAGTATAACAAGTATTCTTAAATGCTCCATTCATTTTAAAAAACAGACCGTACGTTTCAATATTATTAAGCTGTATATCGAGAAAGATATACATATTTATGCACATATAATATATCTGTATAAACATCGTGTGTGCATTAAATTTGTATCGGTTTACACTAAATTATAGCAAAGTACACTAAGATAATTTTTAAGGGCTAAAATAGTTTGTCTCAAAATTCTTAAAGTATGTCTGTCATTTATTTATAGAAATAAATGAGTGTCAATCCAACCCGTGTAAGAACGACGCCGAGTGTGTTGACGAAGTCAATCAATATTCATGTATGTGTAAAGACGGCTACACAGGTACCCATTGTGAAACAGGTATAGCACCGGTTTATATTTTATACATCAATTTATAAGTCCGTTAAATTTGTATTGTTTTGAATTTCTTTGAAATCCAGATCGACATAAACAATATATATATTTTTTAAAAATCTATGTATGTTTTACCTTCATAAGATATAAATGAGTGTGAATCGAACCCTTGTTTGAACGAAGCCAAGTGCATAGATGGTGTCAATCAATATTCATGCACGTGTAAAGATGGCTACGAGGGAAATCATTGTGAAACAGGTATGAATAATTCTACCAATATAATCTTAATCAAAATTCTGTTTTCACATTGTCAGTGTATAAGTGTGTATGACTTAAAAGTCAAGCTTACAAGATGATAAAATGATTAAGAAGCATCGATAATGGCAATAATTATTCTTTTATATGTAAAACATTGCTTCACAAGTATACGTAACATTAGGCGACACACACAGCAGAATGTTACACAATTTCAGTGGTTAATGTCACAATAGTCCTACAAAATTTAAAGAAACTTGACGGATTGTTTTGATGTAAATATTTTAACAAATTTCAACGCAGATATATAACGACAAAGACAACACTGGTTAATGCAAAAATTGTCTTCTCATAAGTTTTTTTATGAAATATTATTAGATATAAACGAGTGCCAATCAAATCCCTGCCAGAATGAAGCCGAATGTAAAGATGACGTGAATCAATATTCGTGTACGTGTAAAGAAGGCTACACGGGCACCGATTGTGAAATAGGTATGCATCACGATTACGTTTAACACTTATTTTATATAATTTCGTTTCGGCTTTTATATTAAGGTGGTGTTTTTTGAACATATTTAAAACATGTCATACAACATAGAGCAACATTTTTCTAGATATGTCTTCTTTGTCACCATTTAGTGGCATGTCTTTATTGAATGTATATTTTTCACTGCTCACCTATTTGTATATCTAGATAAATGTTTTGTTACATTTATAGACATAGATGAGTGTAAATCCAGCCCATGCCAAAATGATGCACTTTGTATAGATGGCGTCAATCAATATTCATGTACGTGTAAAGATGGCTTTTCCGGCATCCATTGCGAAACAAGTAAGCATTATACAGCATCGATTTACCATCTATTTTCTAAATAACATTAATTTCATGGTATGACCTTGATCGACTTTGCCATATGCTATCATTCTAATATTATCATGTTTCTTAACATTGCAAAATACATTATTCTATAGAATTCAAATAAAGAAATGACCTGCTTGGTCAACACGCAATGCAAACCCTCGGAAGCATTAATCACGACAAAATTACATTAAAATTGCAGACTCGGTTTGATTGAGTCTGTAAATGAGGTAAAATGAAACAATACAACACCCATCACGCCACCTAGAACCGGGTTGAGGAGTACTCAATGTTCAAGACCTCAACGTGCTGGAATCCCCAACCACCCCGTCACTTTTTCCCGTTATCTTTTAGGAACATGCCATTCTTTGAATACATGAATGTTGCTATAATCAAATCAAAATAAAAAGATCGCTCAACAAGGAAACATTTGAAGATCCTGTATCTTGTAATTAATGATGTAACAACACTTAAGTGAAATGTAATACATGTATATTATTATTATTCTAAAACAAATTTCAAACATCAACATCTGCATAATGAAAAAGCAGACTATTTTCTAAATGTTTATTTAAGATATAGATGATTGCGAATCTAACCCATGTCAAAATGACGCCGAATGTGTAGATCAAGTCAACCAATATTCATGCTCGTGTAAATATGGCTATATGGGTGACCATTGCGAAACAGGTATGTGGTCAAGTCATTATTAGGCTTTAATGTAATACAGTAGAAACCACACATACGACCACCATAGAATGAAGACTAACCCACTGTTAAGATTAATTGTTATACAAACTATACTTGAAATTTTGTTGAAGAAAATATTTCCCATTAAGGACCCGTATAACAGTTTACCAAATAGTTCATTTTAGTTTTGTTGACTTTTGAACAAATCCATTCATTTTTACAATGGCACAATTCAGTCCATTGAATACTAGTAACATTCATTGTTTAGAATGTAAATTATGCCTATATATGAACATTACGAGACAATGCAGACAAGTAGAACAAATTATTTGTTTTGAATAATTTAATGCGATTAATTTATTTCATTTGACAAACCAAAAACGGAAAAGTAAATTTGTTATGTACAACAGTACAACGTCATAAGTTCGTAATAATACTACTACTAAATTTCATTTAAGTGAGTCTAAAACTTTCATTTTTGGGGGTTTTTATATTTACTTTTATTGCTCTAAAGTTAAATGCTGTATGTAACATTTAAGCAGCAAGTCACCAAACTCTTGATTGTCTTAATAAAACATCTGTGTGGCTGAATGATATATGACATTGCTTTTAGGTATACAGACAATACTTTTGTACATTTGTCAGAAAAATAGGCATATACGTAATGGAAGTACATATAAAATAAATGTTAAGGCATATGAATATAAACATATGGATTGTAAATACTTTATACATAATTTCAACTGATAGATATGTGCTGTGCTTATTTGTCTCCAGTTTTATTCTGCATCAAATTTATGCTTATTTTAAGATGATATATGCTTTGAAATTGCATAGGTTCCTTTTACAGTTCTGATATGAGAAAATATCTTTTAACGCAAATTAACTTTAATGTTACCCTAGCGCTTGTTGGCTGAATTAACTGAAGATATTTGTACGTCTCCAGATATTAATGATTGTCACTCAAATCCGTGTCGTAACGGAGGCAAATGTATCGATGATGTCAATAAATATTCATGTGGTTGTCCAGACGGCTATACGGGTGTCCATTGTGAGACAGGTATAAATTGAAATTTATCTATGAAAATTGATTGACCAACGCAGGCGTTGCTTGTGCTCAAGATTTAGTCGCTTAAAATAAAGATTAATCATATGTGTGTAATGAAAAATATAAATATAAATGCCTAGATAACTGAACACCACTTTAGAATATGAGAAACCTTTTCAACTAAATTTAAAATGACAATATTGAACTTGGCTGTTTATTATCTAAATTGCTTTTATAAATATCACCAGATATAATAAGCAGAGTGATTGCGTTAAATATCCACGCACGAAAGAAATTGTTGGGAAAAAAAACCAGAAAAATATCACATAGCATAGTGCCATTTTGATTGTACGAGTTTAATGTTTAATATATATTATTCCATCAAGAAGATCCCCTTAATTATAAATATATGACTTCCTGTAATCATTTATCATAATTCTTATGTTCAATTTTCAGATATAAATGAGTGTCTGTCCAATCCGTGTAAGAATGAGGCAAAGTGCATCGATGAAGTCAATCTATATCAATGTACGTGTAAAGATGGCTTCACAGGAATGCATTGTGAAACAGGTAAATGTCATTATACATGTACATGTATAAATGTTTGTATTTATAGTCTTATAGCGACATTTTCACACAAAGTTTGATTAACAAATGAAATTACGAATCAAATATAGTCTTTTGTCTCTTCACAACTCAATATGAGACATATATTTACATGACACGTAATAAAAACTTGGCCCCAAAATTTACAAACATAGTCCTATGAGGTAACCGCAAATCGTCTGTGAAGTTTAATACAGAAGAGAGTCCCCCTTACCTGCAGATATTCTTCATTAAAAAAGCCAAAAGAAATTAGATTGTCCATTCCATAACACTGTTTATAAGTTACTAACTTTATTTGTCAACCCCTCTCCTTGCATGCAATAATCCTTCATCAAAAATATACATGAATTAGATTATCTGCTTCAAAACATTTTTTTAAGTTTCCTATTCCATTTGCCAGAAATAGACGAATGTTTATCCAACCCATGCTACAATGATGCTGAATGTATTGATGAAGTCAATGGATACACTTGTACATGCAGTAATGGATATGAAGGAATTGACTGTAAAATAGGTAGGTTTGTTATTAATATTGTCAAATTAGTAAATTTATCTTTAACAAAAAATTCACCATTACCATGATTAAAATTGAATCATTTCTTAAGCTGGTGCTAAGGCTAGGGCCGAGAAAAGTAACTTATTTGCAATTTCCAGTAACGTCCCTAAACAGGTTTAATTAAACTGAACCTTTTGTCGCTCTTGACGTACTATTTCCCGCTATGTATTTTTCCAATATAACAATCTACAACATGATAGGGAGAATTCGTTTTAATGACATTAAATAGACAGTGATGAAAAGAAGACGTTTTTCATTCCGTAAAAAACATAAGGTGATAACAAATATAAAGTAGCGTAATTATTTGTAAAAATTAAGAATTAAGGATTGTGTAATTATTCCATACATATTTCTTTTCTTCTCTGGATTAATAAATCTCTTGACTCATATCACATATATCGAAACATATTTCAGGAACAAACATATAAATTAATACAAATAATAAATTAATGTACCATATCCGCCATTCAAATATATCAATACACAATTATTTTACATGTATAAAATTTATATGGTATAGTGTGAAATTACTGATTTATTTCGCATAACCAATTTAATTCCCAGAAATAAATGAATGTGAATCTAGTCCGTGTCACAATGGAGCTGATTGTATTGATGGAATCGATAGCTACAGTTGTACTTGTAAAGACGGATACAAAGGCAGTAATTGTGAAATAGGTAAGTTTATTCTAATAATGCAAAAAGTAACTCATTCAAATGTCAGGTACTTTCAATTTACAATTGCTTATTGTTAATAGTGTTTGGCTGTATTTGTACTATCGATGTATCAAGTATATGAGAAAATATATGTTCTTTCTTTCTTTTTTCATAACAGTTTGATTTCTACTAGTGAATCGATGTATCAAGTATATGTAAAAATATATGTTCTTTCTTTCATAGTTTTTACTTTTTATATTCATTTTGTATTTTAATGATCTATCATACACTTGTCAATATCAGTGTCGTATTTACCTTCTGCTTTCTACTGTTGTAAAGTAAAATACACATAAGGCGTTTATAAAGAATTATTAAATATTTTCACTCGGTGTTGTTCTGGAATCAGAAATAAAAACAATCCGACTGTATTTCAGACATTGATGAATGTTTACCAGATCCATGTCGTCATGGAGGCACGTGCGTTGATCTTGTGAACGAGTACCAGTGTAAATGTGTAGATGGCTACAACGGAACCAACTGTGAAACTGGTAACTATTATTTTTACTGATCAATTTAGCACAATAAAAATGTATGTAGATCTACTTGTAAGTTTTTGTCAACTACCGGTATTTTAAACGGATCTGTTTCACAACAGCAGCATTTATGTATATATGGAACGAATTCATTTTAATATGCAAATAGTAAATAAAGGAACCATATCCGCCGTTCAAATATATCGTAATTGAAGAAAAATAGTACTTTTCATATGGATCGATCTTTTGACGGGGGGATTATTATTTAACAAAGCTAGATAAGTGAGCAGAATAACATATAATTATATATATATAATTTTTATATTTGTATGATTTGTTGTGAAACTACTGATTTATTGATGCATTACTTATTTATTTTCTCAGAAATAAATGAATGTGAATCTAGTCCGTGTAAGAATGGAGCTGAATGCGTCGACAATGTTGATAGCTATATTTGTACGTGTAAAGATGGATACGAAGGCATTAATTGTGAAATAGGTAAATGTCTTTTGATTATGCAGTAACGTTAACGCATTAATTGTACGTATAGAAATCTGAAACAGTTTGATTTTTTTATTGTTTGTTCTAAATATTTTTTAACAAACCCAGAATCCGTTTTCAAAGAACTATGGAATATTTTCACCATGTGTTGTTCTGAAATCAGATATTACAATGCTACTTGTATGTATTTTCAGACATTGATGAATGTTTACCAGATCCATGTCGTCATAAAGGCACGTGCGTTGATCTTGTGAACGAGTACCAGTGTAAATGTGTAGATGGCTACACCGGAACCAACTGTGAAACTGGTAACCATCAATTTTACCGATCAGTTTAGCACAATAAAAATGTATGTAGATCTACTTGTAAGTTTTTGTCAAATACCTGTTATTTAAACTGATCTGTTTCACAACGGCAGCATTTATGTATATATGGAATGAATTCAATTTAATATGTAAATAGCAAGTTAAAGAGCCATATCCGCCATTCAAATATATCGTCATTGAAGACAAAATAGAACTTTTCATATGAATCGATCCTTTGACGGGGGGATTATTATTTAACAAAGCTAGATAAGTGAGCAGAATAACATATAATTATATATATAATTTATATATTTGTATGTTTTTGTGAAACTACTGATTTATTGATGCATTACTTATTTATTTTCCCAGAAATAAATGAATGTGAATCTAGTCCGTGTCAGAATGGAGCTGAATGCGGCGACAATGTTGATAGCTATATTTGTACGTGTAAAGATGGATACGAAGGCATTAATTGTGAAATAGGTAAATGTCTTTTGATTATGCAGTAACGTTAACGCATTAATTGTACGTATAGAAATCTGAAACAGTTTGAATTTTTTATTGTTTGTTCTAAATATTTTGAACAAACCCAGAAGCCGTTTACAAAGAATTATGAAATATTTTCACCATGTGTTGTTCTGAAATCAGATATTACAATGCTACTTTTATGTATTTTCAGACATTGATGAATGTTTACCAGATCCATGTCGTCATGGAGGCACGTGCGTTGATCTTGTGAACGAGTACCAGTGTAAATGTGTAGATGGCTACACCGGAACCAACTGTGAAACTGGTAACCATCAATTTTACTGATCAATATAGCACAATAAAAATGTATGTAGATCTACTTGTGTTTGTCAAATACCAGTATTTCAAACTGATTTGTTTCACAACAGCAGCATTTATGTATATATGGAACGAATTCATTTTAATATGCAAATAGTAGGTTAAAGAGCCATATCCGCCATTCAAATATATCGTCATTGAAGAAAAAATAGAACTTTTCATATGAATCGATCCTTTTTAAGGCGGGATTATCAATACACATAGCTAGATAAGTGAGCAGAATAACATATAATTATATATATGATTTTTATATTTGTATGATTTGTTGTGAAACTACTGATTTATTGATGCATTACTTATTTATTTTCTCAGAAATAAATGAATGTGAATCTAGTCCGTGTAAGAATGGAGCTGAATGCGTCGACAATGTTGATAGCTATATTTGTACGTGTAAAGATGGATTCGAAGGCATTAATTGTGAAATAGGTAAATGTCTTTTGATTATGCAGTAACGTTAACGCATTAATTGTACGTATAGAAATCTGAAACAGTTTGAATTTTTTATTGTTTGTTCTAAATATTTTTGAACAAACCCAGAATCCGTTTTTCAAAGAATTATGAAATATTTTCACCATGTGTTGTTCTGAAATCAGATATTACAATGCTACTTTTATGTATTTTCAGACATTGATGAATGTTTACCAGATCCATGTCGTCATGGAGGCACGTGCGTTGATCTTGTGAACGAGTACCAGTGTAAATGTGTAGATGGCTACAACGGAACCAACTGTGAAACTGGTAACTATTATTTTTACTGATCAATTTAGCACAATAAAATGTATGTAGATCTACTTGTAAGTTTTTGTCAAATACCGGTTATTTAAACTGATTTGTTTCACAACAGCAGCATTTATGTATATATGGAACGAATTCATTTTAATATGCAAATAGTAGGTTAAAGAGCCATATCCGCCATTCAAATATATCGTCATTGAAGAAAAAATAGAA